TTGATATTGTGATTAAGAATTCTGGTCAAGGTGATCTCTTCCTATTTCCTTCTGAATGGCAGGAGAGAGCAAGAGGACTGCAGTTATAAAACTTGATTATTGTCTCTCTCACTCAAGGGAAGAGTATAATGAGCCTGATTTAGGGTTACATGAGGATTGCACATTTAGCAGGCCTAATCAAGAAAGCAGAGTATACATCAGTGTGAAGTTCTGTGGAAATATTTAGGTCCAACATCATCACTTAAAACAACTCTGCTAAGTCTGTGTTGGAAGCTCAGAGTAGCACTCAGAAAATGCAGTTCAGAATTTTGTAGGTTCTCCTGGTCACTTCTGATCAAGAGGCACTATCTCCCCTCTCCAATTCTATAATGGTGCCTTCAGTTACCCACAAAAAAGAGATGGGTGAAGAATTTACTTCATTAAAATGCAGTGAAATGCAGTTACTCTCAAGGCTGATAATTACAGTTGTAAATAGAATTTTATTTTGAAGGATGCCAGTTGATTTTTTGTCCATTCAGATGGGAATTTTTGTGCTTGACAGCGGAAGGAGGAGAAGGAAGCAAATACGTATTGAACATGAAAATGGAAGAGTCTGAAATGGAGAGGCAGATACCCATGACAGCTTTTGACTAAGGCGGATAAGCTGTGTTGCAACTTATCTACAGTGTTAGCAAATGATGACTTCCTCATCACTTTCTTACTTTTATTTTCTTCTTGAAAAATTGTCAGCTGATTTTATACAAATGCTCTATCACTACCATTTGAGTACAAGGCAGAGTGAGCCATTACCTTATCTTTGTATGTGGCAAATGTGGATTGTTTTGAGTGCATGAAGCTGAAAAGGTCTTTATCTTTCAAGGACTTACATCTCCCTTACATTGATCCATCCTTCAAAGCTCGTCTCCTGTGTCTGATACCCTGGTACCCATATGTTTGACAAGGTTGAATTTTCTGATGACACTTTCTGTTCCCATTTGAAAATTTATTCTTTAGCTCCACCTCCTGGCTCTTGGTCCATGAAAAGGAGGATTCTCAGGAATCACAGAGCTTCAAGAAGGGATCAGAATTATTCATCCTAGCGTACGAACATTAGTGTAGGGATGCATATGGGGACATTTTAGCTGAAAAAACAGAATTTGTTGAGCCCACTCACGCTGGCTTTCAACAGAGGCAAATGTTCTGGTGGTGAGGTGGACAACAATATGTGGCTCATAGTTTCTGCTTTTTGTTGGACTTTTGGTTTCTCAACTGTGGCAGTTTTGATACATGACAGGCATCACAGAACAGTCTTTCTTTATGACTGTTTTTTCTCTGGTACTTCCTCAATCTTGTGGGGGTGGGGAGGTACAGGAGAAATCGTCTGACACTGAACCATTAAAAAAAGATCTCTGAGGCCTTGCAAAGGAGTCTTGTTTCACACAGGAAGAATTTGACTTTGTTCATCCTATTCAACCAGGGGCTACCCAAGAAGCAGAGGAGTAGAGCTTAGCCACCTGGATTCAAGAAGCTGAACCCATGTCTCTTCCCCGACAGCTGCGAGAAAAGAGGTAGTGTGTCTCTCCCTCCTCCTGCTCCCCCACAAGCCTCATGTAACTGCTGTGATCTGTTTGTTTAATTTGGATGCAAGCGTCTTTGGTGATTCTTCTTGTTGTTCTAGCTTCCACACTATTAGGCTGCTCAGTGTGGAGCAGTCCATTTCTTAGGTTGGAGTGGACTTTCTTCTTTTTGTGAGGAATAGTCAGCACCTAGGCCATAACGGGTAATTGTCCTCTTTATAGCTACAAACAGTTTCCCTTTTACTGGGGTTGGTGATATGACTAATTTTATCTCCATAACCACATCCCTCTTCACAGTAAGGGATAGTGTTTACTGTGTTGTGGGTGGTGCTGATTCATGGCATTCTCCTCGAACAGCAAACTATTGAAGACCTTACATGATTACTTCATCCTTTCAAATGGAAACACCTACTTGGGATATTCTCCTGGCAGGATAAACTGAGAGAACTGACAGCTTTTTTTTTTTGTATTATCAGAATATTTAACATTATGTCGGCTTGGAATTTTTTAGATGATCCTTTTAAAAGTTTCTCTCTATCTCATTTGTTAGCCTTTTTTCCTCCTTCCTGATGCTTTTTACTTAGGTGTTAATATAAATACCCCTCTAACAACACTGAATTATAAGACTGAAGCAAAGGTGAATTTGTCTTCTGCTTGTCAAAGCTGTTGTACCAGGGAGAAGGTCACAGACAAAAAAGCACCTGCCAATTCTTGCTGTTATGTTGTGTGGACATTATAGACAAGTAATATGACTTTGCAGTAATATGGCTGCAGCGGCCGAAAAAACGCACACTCAGTCAGTTGACAGGCAGCGAGCACTTTATTTACAGAAGGCTTAGTTTTATAGTCTTTTCCTTCTGTCCACACGCAAACATACCATATCTCATTGGTTAGGTGTTCTTGTTTACGTGCCTAAGCTCCTTTTCTAATAGGTGGTCAGCATTCCTTCACGTGCTGGCAACTCTCAAAACAACACCTGTTATTTACTGCAGTTCTTCCCTTTCTGTTTTTTCGTCTTCAGTGTTTGCATTCCTTTACAATCTCATAGCTGTAACTGCTCAAATTCAAGGCCTAAGCTGTCTACAGCTCAGTTGTTTCCCTCATATGGCTGCTCTTTAGGTGTTCCTGCAAGGATCCTTCCTTCTCTTTTACTTCAAATCCAATACTTTCTAAGATCTGCAAAGCTTTTTCTAACCCTGCCTACTATCATATGTTCCTTCACACATTTTTGACATTTTCAAACACGTGTCTTTGCTCTTACTTCAGGTTGTCTGCTGTGAAGGTTAAAGCCAAGGTCACAGGTTCGATCCCCGTACGGGCTTAAGAGCTGGATTCAATGACCCTTGTGGGTCCCTTCCAACTCAGAGTATTCTGTGATTCTGTGATGAATCTTATCTACTGTGACTGAGAGATCTCCCTGTAAATATTTGCTAGCCTACTCATTCTTTTTTAAAGCCTCTTTAAGAGTTTGTTTTATTGTGATGTCTACAAGAAAATGTAACAACATTTTGACAGCTGGTGCAGGCACCACTAGTTATGATATAGAATAATACTATGTTTGTCTTTCTTTGCTCTTTTTCTGTTTGTGCTTATCCTTTGTTTCTTATCGTATATGTACAAGGTACATTGTATGAATCTTGCACACGGAGTGTAAGGTTTTTAGGAATTAGCTTTGTGCTGTCAGTTTGTACAGCACCTAGCACAACAAGCTCTTTTCTCAGAACTGTTTCCTATTCCCTACAGTAATGCAGTAATAATAACAGCATAAATCATGATATATAATGATCTCCTTAGAATAAGATATACTGCTGCAGAGTTATTACTATAAGTCTTCTAAATACTGTAGGAAGGATTAAGAATGCATCCACAGTTGATCACATTTTGCAGGAAAAGCTTAGCAGCTCAAGCATTTTTTTTTTGTAGTTCTGCTCCTCTAGAAAGCCTAGGAATGATAAGGGTGGTTTTCAGACATGTCGAATCCTCACAGTGGTCACTGACTTTGCTGAACTTACAGAAACTTGAAATCTTGAGATCAGGCCTCCAGAGGAAGAGAAAGACACCACAAGTGTGTGATTCTTGATTTTGACAGTTGATAATGTGATATTGCCTTTGTTCTGTATGGCACAGAGACCTCGAAGGCTAATACCAGTATGAGTAACCTAAATCTTTTGTTCTTGCTTCACAGTGATTTTGACCAGCTTCCAGATGATGTACCTGTTTCAGCTAACATTGCAGATATTGAGGAGAAGAAAGGCTTTACAAACTACTTTGTAAGAAGGGAGATTCATTCTATCTCTATATGCCTTCATCTGTGACTGGTTTGGTCATGGGAAGCAAAATGCAGTTAATCTGGTGTAATTGCTTTTTGCTATGAATAGTTCCATGTGGAAAACTTCTCAGTGCTTGTTTTTTCTAGAATGGAGGATAGTCTATCATAGATTTAGTCTAAAAATTTATTTTCTGAGTGAAATGTGACAGAGGTATCCTCTAACATCACTTGTTTTCTAAATTCTTATCTAATCTCCAATTTTTTCCCTGTTGGAGTGCTGTACCTTTGCTGAAGAGAGTGGTAAAGGAGTTCAAGAAGGGTAGAAGGGCAGAGTCATTATTCCTTAGTACTGGCAAGTTAGGATGCTCCCATCTACACAGAAGATAGCATATTAATAAAATATGAAAGAGCATACAGGAAGGGAATAGTAGGGAAAAGCACTAAGGTTCTGAAGGTTTTGAATATGACCAGCTGAGTCTGACTTCTGCTGGAGACTTTGCTCATAAACCCTTCCCACTGCAGTATGCAGGTTTTAGTCTGGAATGTAGTGATGTTTGATTGCTCTGTCTTTATGTTTTCTGAAGGATCTGGCTGCAATGTGACTCAAAGGTCAGTGTATGGAAATCATAGGTTTCTTTAGAGCAAAGCAATTTTGTCAGGAGATAAGAAATAAAATACTGGTTGGAGGCAGTCAGACCATAATTTCTGAAATTGTGTACCTTAAAGTCAAAAAGAAGTATGAATGCTTTCAACTCTGAAAATCAATTCATTTAGATGCCTGTCTATAGACTTAGATGTCCAAAGCATCTCACTGTAAAATATTTGTATTTACCTCCCTAATGTGTTTTGTTTGTTACTGAGGGAAGGTGTGTAAGCATAAAGTAGAATCTAGTCATTTCATGTTTCCTTTTAAGATTATATAACATAAAGTAAAGCAGCCACAGGGATATGCATCTTGGGAAATCTGGACCCACAAATATGCCACGCTGGTGCTAACTTTTTATTTTCTAGTTCTTGAGTCTGCAGATACTTTACTGAAAGCTTGCTTTCCACTCTGCCCCTAAGAGAATATTCCCTCTAATGGAGCACTGATCTTATGATCCTATTGCCTTACTTTCATTTGGTAAGTATTTATGAGTATGAATATCAACCTGAATCTCTCTTCTCTGTTTCAGATGTTTGTCATTGAAGTAAAGCTTAAAGGTCGTGGCAGATACCTGATTTTCCGACGCTATCGTGAGTTCTATGCCCTGCACACCAAACTAGAGGAGAGATATGGGCCAGAGAGTGACAATGGCCCATTCACCTGCACACTCCCTGTATTGCCAGGTAAGCTGTCAGTACCAGGTCTTTCCATGATTAGCAGCTTTATCAGCCCCAGGCTGTCCCAAAGAGGAGTTCATTGAGGGAACTAGTTGTGACAAGGAACTAGTTCCCAGCTGTAGATGCCAGAGAAGTCAAGCTCCATTGGCAGTACCTTCACTTGTGGTAAAGTTCATTTAGAAACATAAAATGCTTTAGAAAATATGTATTTTCTTGGAGATCCTATTTTCTCCTGATTGCTTCATTTCTCTGACAACCTCTTTTGTTTTTTCTTCAATAACTGTCACAGGTTTTATATTTTCCAGGAAAAGTTTTTGTTGGTGCCAAAAGGGAAATTGCTGAGAACAGGATTCCTATCCTAAATGTCTACATGAAGGTAAAACTTAATTTTAAGGTGGAGAATGCACTGAGCACTGCAGATATTTACCCCTTGAAATCAGCTAAGAGAGACAGTACTGTTACAGTCCTAGGTATCTGCTTCTCTCTGTACTGATTTTTCTGAATACACAGTGTGCACACTGTGGTACAACCTGCAGTCCTCTTCCCCAGATTGTTCAGACTGTAGGATCTGCTGGAGTACACTGTTCACAGAGGCTCACTCACTCACTCACTCACTCACTCACTCACTCACTCACTCACTCACTCACTCACTCACTCACTCGTGTACAGATAGATATCCTTAGCAAAAAAATCCCCCAACCCGAGATGTATGAGGAAATGGTGAATCTCCAGGTGCTGCATGAATACAGAATTGGTATGTATGTCTAAAAGACTGGGAGAATGGTGTGTGGGTTGTGTTTTAACCTTGCCCACCAACTAAATACTGTGCAGTCACTCGCTCACTCCTGTAACAGAATAGGGAGGAGAATCAGAAAAAGGTGAAACCCGTGGGTTGAGATAAGTAAAGTTTAATAATTGAGATAAAGTAAAATATAATCCTAATAATTGTAATTTAAAGGGAGATAATGAAAAAGACAGAGAGAAATAAAACTAAAGAAAAAACCAAACAAGTGATGCACAACACAATTGCTCACCACCTGCTGACTGATACCCAGCCAGTCCTCTGAGCAGTGACCAGTGGCTCCAAGCCAACTCCCCACAGTTTATATACTGGGCATTCTATGGCATGGAATACCCCTTTGGCCAGTTCGGATCAGCTGTCCTGGCCATGGTCCCTCCTGGCTTCTTGTGCAGCTCCTCACTAGCAGAGCATGGAAACTGAAAAGTCCTTGGTTTAGTAAGCCACTGGTTAGAAGCAACTAAAACAGCAGTGTGTTACCAACATCATTCTCATGCTAAATCCAACACACAGCACTGTACCAGCTACTAAGAAGAAAACTGACTCTGTCACAGCCAGAATCAGGACAGGTGGGCTTCTGGTTATACCTGCTCTACAGTGAAGATGCATCCAGTAAACATCAAGGAGAGAAATTCTTTGTGTGCAGGTTAACTGAAGACCTGACTTTAAATCACTAAAAGCTTGAAACACTGGCCAAGGCTTACATGACTTAAGATTGCCTTCTTTCCACAGTCATTCATGTTCTGAAGGGAAACACAAAAAACAATTTACTTCTGCAGTAAATCAGGTACAAAAAGAGTGAAGCAATACATTGGCCAACTCCAGGAGTAAAGAAGAGAAACTGTCAGCTGTTCAGCTGTGTCCTGCTGAGTGAGAAGGGAGAGGAGAGAGATTTCTGGCAGTAATGAATATCCTTCATGATCCCGTAGGTCAGAGAGGCATATTTGTTGCATGTAAATAAATAGAGAATTGGTCTCTCCCACTGCTACTCTGCTTCCTCCTTGCTCTTGGCACAGAACCTACTCTGCCTCCCTGCTTGGGTGTTGATGGATGAAGATGTACGACTGTTCTTCTACCACTCAACCTTCGATAGTGAGCAGGTGCCTCACAGGCTGAGACGGCTTCGCCCACGGACACGCCGAGTGTAAGTGATTGACATGTTTTTTCAGCATTTCTTGATGTAAAAGATGCTGTCCAGTTTTGGGGGGGGAGAGAGAGAGATGAGGGTCACCACTGTGTTTCCCATGTGAATCCATGAATTCCCAATATGAGGATCTTTGTGGTGGAGTGAACACAGAGTATTTCTTCTTTTCAGTAATCTCAGATTTTTAAAGTGGATGTGGTACTTGCATTAAAGGAAAATTCCAAAAGGAGAGTATAGCTTACTTTTAAAAAATACTGTCCAGTTCTATCTACCTGTATTTCTTTTATGGTAATTTCTATTATAATGTGCAGAATATACAGGCCAAGATTAATGACATAGGCTTGCACCACTGAAATCAGTGTGAGTTTTGGCAATGAATTCAGTGAGATCTGGTTCAGACACTAAATGAAACTGAATATTTAATTTGTTTCTGTCCTTTGTCTAAACAGGGGCCTGTCCTACATAGCAGCATTGACACCCCTTTGGAGAGCTTTTAAGTAGACACCATACTTCATTACCCTTTAGACAAATTAATTCTCCTTTCAGCATAGCAAAGATGGACCCACTTCCTTTTCACTTACCTCAAACACGGCAGAAATTGCATGTGTGTATGATGACAGAGTTTGAACTAAATGCCATAAATGCTAGAAACAGAAATGCCCAGAAGGCAGAGTAGGGGGGCTGAGCAGTGCTGTGGAAGTCCAGGATACTGACTGTATTGAAAATTCCATCTGTTCTCAACAGCAGACACCATCAGATTGTTGCTACTCTGAACTGAAACTGAGGGAACTAGGGCAATGTTGTTGCATCCATATTTTTTTACTTCAGTGCTGCACACAGATTCATTTTCATGCAGTTTCTCCAGTGGTCTATGGCTTACCTGCCTCTTAAATAGTAAAAATGCAGACATTGTACTACTAATTGTGTAGCATTTTTTATGACTAGAAAGGCATGTTTATCTCCCTGCTGTCCCCTTTCTTTGCAGTAAAAGCATTTCACATCAAGTACCTATTTTTGACCGCACAGCAGCTCCGCGGGCTGAGGTGAGTACTCTGCACAGCCTGTCACAGGATAGGAGATTAAACTCTGTTTTACTTTGGTACCTCATCCATCAAGTTGCCTTTTCCAATTAGAACCTGGGGGAAGAAAGTGAAATCAACAGAGAAAAACAATTGATTTTAGCAACAGGGAGTGAAACAAAGGATGGAAAGAAGTGTTTTGTTCCTCATCACTTGAGTAGTAAGAAGGTCCATTGTGAAGTCAGAACGACAGGACATTAAAAAATGAGACATGTACAGCTTGCTGCCAAATGGTGCATATTTGCATAGTGATAACCATAAATTAAATTTATAACAAGCACAAGCTTCAGCTTCGTTGACTTCAGTATATGTTTAAAAGCTTTGCAGGTGAGGCATCTCAGTATTTTTTGTAGCACAAGTGTTCTACTGAAAAGTGCCTATACCCTTGTCTTTTGTGGTATATTGTCTCAGTATTAAGCACATGGGACTGCTTTGTAACCAGTACTTGTCTGAGCATTGTCTTGCTTCCTGGAATTTTGCTATGTAAGATTAAAAAAAGCCATCAAATGCTTTGAGGTTTGTTGGTTTTGGTTTTCACACTGACAGTGACAGGTCTTGGAACAGTCATGCCTCTTGGGTTTTATCTATGAATTTATTAATATCGATTATACCTACCAAAATTTTTCAAGAGGTGAAAAAAGCTTTTGAAAGAGCTATTAAATAGACATATGAACTACGAGCACAACATTAATAAGACTGAAAGAACTATCTCAACACAGAGAACACCTTTTCGTTTTTGTTCCTCTAAGAGTGTTTAAATTGCTATCATGTTCTCTAAGGACAATGGGGGAGCTGTGCATTTTTGTAACTCAGCAACATTAATTATCCAAGAACAGTTTTTTTTCCCCTGAAGAGGACATCTAAGTTCCATTTTAACTACATGTCAATTTCCCAGGCTTCCCCAAATCTCTCAGTTCAGCATATAGACCTGACAGCTAGATGTAAGAGCAACAGTTACTTACCCTTAAATTAGGACACAACAGTTCTGCAATTTTTTAAGACTTTTTATGATATTTTGCAGTGAATCTAAAAGTTGTAAAGCTGCAACCAGAAATAATATATCTCTTCAATTCTCAGGATTTCAAGCTATCAGTTTTCTTCAGCTCTGTTGTCTTATTTGCTCTTAAGTGTTTTCAGCTTAAGTATATTTATTTCTCTGGTGCTCAGGGTTCTGTCCCTTTAAGAATCCTAGCATGCAGTTCTCTCAGGGCCATGTTTATCCTAGTGCTTTCACTATTTCTTCAAAGCATTTTTGTGCATGCTGAGTAGGAGAAGAAATTGTGAGAACTGCAAACTGTGGTCAAATATATGTGACCTTATTCCAGAAATAGGTCTGTGATGACAAAATGCACACTATCTTGCTGCTTTATGCTTTCACCTCAAGTACAGAACAGAAAAAAGGGTTTACTTTTGTAATTCTGTGAATTAGTAATTTCAATGTTATTACTTTCCATAGGCACTGTTTGATTTTCCTGGAACCAATAAACTGGAACTCAGCTTCAAGAAGGGAGACTTGATCTACCTACTCAGCAGAGTAAATAAAGACTGGTTGGAGGTAAGACTGCAAGAGCAATACTGAGTTATTAGCATACCTTGACATATATGAGTAGAAAGGGTTCTCCTAATCCTTGTGACCTGTCTCCTCCTTTCAAGGAGAAACTCTACCATAATCAGGCCTTACTGTCAAGAATAAATCCTTGATTCCAAATTTGTAATTGCTTTGTTCCTTGATGGTTTTTAGCTTACAAATTTTCTGCCCTCCAGACTTCAGTTTTCATTTGCATTTTTTTCTGCTGGAATGTTCTTAAATTCTTTGGAAGTGATTAGAACACAGAAAGGCCACAGAAAGGAGATGGAAACTCCATTTCAGTGATTAATTGGTTTCTTGCCTCAGGGTGAGTTGCTGTATGCTTCATGCTTCATACCACAACACACGTCAGCCTGATTAGAGAGAACTTGGGTAATGCAGCAGTCTTCTGAAAGAGGATGAGGAGAACATACTGTGTGTTTGCTGATATGATATCTCTGCTTGCTCAAACACCACAGCCTTCCTTGCTAACCATCTGACTTTCATTTTTTACACACTGTTTCACTCTCCTGCCTGGTATTTGACTATGCAATTGTATAATCTTTTTGTAGGGATGCCATCAGGTCACTTCCATAGCCTTTCTTTTCTGGATTATAGTAGAAAAATTCTTATTGTTGTTTCTGTGGAAATTAATTGAATTCCAGAACTTATGCATGTGGCCAAAATGGCGTGGTTTTCTTGATTCTAATATTTCCCATCATTCCAGGGAACTGCTAATGATACCACTGGGATTTTCCCATGTGCTTTTGTGAAGATCATAAAAGATTTACCACAGCAGGAAGACACAGTCAATAAAGTCCGCTGTTATTACCACAGTGAGACTGTGAGCACTATCAGGTAATAAGAAAATAGTATTCCAGATTATTGCTGAAGAAACACCAATAATTCTCTTTTCATGATATGTAATGAATAGATTTGTTCTGATTACAGGGATATCTCAGTGGAAGAGGATCTGAGCAGCATTCCATCATTCAAAGATCTCATGGAATTGATGAGGTACAATGCAAGCAGTTAGTTGTATATTTAATACTTAAACATTTGTCAAGCTTATGCCAGTCCTAGATTTTTCACATTCTACTTGGTCATCACCAGGTTTTGGGTGTGAAATACTTTTCAAATGTCTTGAAGAAGTTGTACTTTGACTTGGCCTAGGGCCATCTGTGCAAACACCTATCTTCCTTGGGATTGTCAATAAGTATGGAATGACCCACACTTCCGATTCACTTATGCTGTGTAGAAGTTTCCATTTTTGTTCTAAGGTCAAAGCAATGACCCCTTGAAAACATCTTTTGTCTAATACACTTCTTCAGGATGCAGGACTCCACCTTCTAACACCTGCTAAACTAGTGTTAAACTAACTTGATCTAGTGTTGAATATCAACACTTTAGAACATCAAATATTAGTAATAGAACACCTATGCTAATACTCTTACACTCCTCAGAAAAAAAGCAACTGTAAGTAGGCAAAAGTGGGTAGTAACTACAGTCAGCATTTTTTGTATGGAAATTTTATCAAGCATACAGATTAATTGTGCCATTTGTGTGGTGTTACTGTAAAAGGTTCTTGGTTCTGATAGATTTCTTAGCTTAAACACAGCGCAGCATGAATGTGGCTGTATAATTTCCAGTACTAGCTGTATCAAGAATGCCAACACATGCGAGGCTTTATGTGGCTTTTAGCAGAGTTAATTAGACTGTCAGTATATTGTTCATCATGTAGCACCTCCCAGGCATTCCTTGATTTCTGGGGATCAATCCATTCCTTTTCTACCAGGCGGGAGTTTGACCAAGATGACATTGCTTTGAATTATCGGGACCTTGACGGGGATCTGATCCGGTTGCTCTCCGATGAGGATGTTGAACTCATGGTATCTCAGAGCAGGAGAAGGCCCTCTGAGAAGCACTTTTTTCCTTGGAAGTTGCACATCACTCACAAAGATGACTTGGGTGTCTACAACACTAGTCCAGGAATAGATGCTACTCAAATAGTAGGAGCAATGTAAGTGCTATATAGATATATTCCAGTAGGTAGCTATACAGTCCATTAATAATCCCTCTCTTCAAGCAGTTTCCTTTAATATGGCTTTGAAGTGACCTTGAAAAGAGTAATTTTTAGTAATATGTTACCTTTCAATGTAAAATCTGTACTTAGCTTCTACAGCTTTTTAGCACTCCTCTGCAATAGAGACATCTACATAGAGACCAGAGAAGGTGAGGAATAGAGAAATGAAATCACTGGCCATATTCACAAAACAAGTCAGTGTTAGCCTGCAATAGAGATGTCCGGAGTCCCAAGACCTGCTCTAATCTCTATACTCACTCCCAGAGCTAATTATTTGTCCAGAATGCCTTCATAAACTTTTCTTTTTTTTCTAGATTGCCATAATTTTCTCTTCATTTGCTGATATGAACATTTGTGTGCCAGGGCATAATTATTTCTGTCATGTTGGAGTCTGACCAGGCATTCAGAGTTTCTTCTAGAAGGATCAAGAAAACTTTTTTGTACTTCAGTGAAGAAATTGCAGCCCACCTTAGCTTTCTTCTTTCCACTGCCCAATATATTGAATTTTTTGAATCAAACTTAGTACACCTGTGGTGTTCCTCATAGACCTTTTTGTAATTGTACAGACTACTTATTTCTGCATTCTGGGAAAACATGCATGATGCCTATTCAAACAGGAGTTTATTCTCTATCTATCTTCTGCTTTTGGACACTTCATTTCAAAGGAGAACTAACAAGAAATTACTGTATCAGATTCTTCAACAAATAAAGTTAAATATGAGTTTATCAATTTTTATTTAAAAGTGGGTTTTTTTGGGGGGGATTTGGTTGACATTATTTTACTGAACTATTACAAAATGTAACTTCCTGCTTCAAAGACATTACAGTTTAGAAAGGAGATGAAGCAACATGCAATGATAATGTCAGTGATCTTACATGTTGTGATACATAAGAAAATATATTGTAAGTTTGAAACCTAATGGCATGCATGGTCTGCAAAGCTTCTGGTGTGCAGGATTACTTGTTACCTGTTCCTGGAGTTTAACAGAGCAAATGACATCTGAAGATTTTCACTTACAGCTAGATCCTGTGATGTAAACAGCAATGCAGCATGTATGTCTGAAAACGGAGGAACATTTTCAGAGAGGAAGGGGAGGGAGGGAAAATGTCTGTTGGGAAACAAGAAACCTCTTTTCTAAGGGTGGGGGAAGAAATAAACATACTGGCCTCTGAAAATCAGAGCAGGATAATTCCTCTCTGCCTTTATACTCCATACAAAGTAAATTCTGCCCATCCAGCAAAGTCACATATTCCCCTTCTTGTCTGCAGGTTTTATATAGACACCTCCTGACACACAGTTTCCTCAGATATTCTCATGTTCTTCATCTTGCTCTGCATGTTTCTCTTATTCACATTATACTTTTTTTCCCCTTGTTTATTGCTGCAGTTCTGGTGAGAGCATAATTGAGCTAACTGTGGTTTTGGTCAGTACTCCAGGAATTTAGAGGAGGTGTAGTATGTATCAGTGCAGGATAGAGAGACTCTAGCAGTTATATTCTGTATCTGGGGGCTCAGTCTTCCATAGTTTACCCTCCAGAGCAAAAACGTGAGTGTATATTTTCCTTATGGCTACCTAACTTTGCTAGAGATCTTATTATTGAAGGCTATTGGCCTAAATTATAAAGTTGGATTAAAAGAGCATGGCTGCCTCGGTTGTAGGATAACTTCAGATCGACTCTTCTCAACAATTTTCTTTTGTTTCTTCTATGTACTCTAGCACTTATTAATTGTTGTTGAAATAGTTAAAACTTGCTTTTAGAAATATTGCTCAAATTAAAAGGTTACAGAAATAAAGGTAGTTCACTAGTCCCCAATATAGATGTACAAATGAAAGTCCAGTGTGATCCCTGCCATGAAGATTGTCTAGTCTAGATTAAAGCAAGAAACAGCACTGGAGTGAAAACCAGAAATTCTTTCTTTGTCTTCCTTACTTCTGCTGCAGTCAATCCTTTCTTTTTCTTAAAATACATTAGTCCCATGATCTGGTAATTGCTAACACGCAGATTGACAAACTTCCTTTCCCTCCCTTCCCTTAGTGCCATTTAAGTGCATACTCTTGGGGCTAAAATAGGAACTACAGACTTCCTATTTTACAAGAAATTGCATAGGCTTCACTTGAAGGGGTGGGGTCTGCTTCTCTGAAAGTGGCATTTCTGATGCACAGAAGATGCAGCACTTATTTTGAAGACTTACTTGCCAAGAAAATCCTGTGCTTGGTTGATACCTTCTGTCTCCAGTTCTAGGCAAGTGTGGGTTTGCTGGTTTCTGCATCAGAGGATTCTGGTGCTGTGGGGGCAGGCTGGACAGGGAGATTCACCCATCAGGTTGAATGATCTGCCTCACGGAGATCTCTGGGTCCAGGTAAGGGAATGGCTTCCTTTCTGGGGGAAGCAAAATGGCAGAGTCTGCCCTCATACAAAGGCTTGTGAGTGACTGAGGGATTCCTTAGCTCTAATGACTATTCAATATCATTGGCTCAGCCAGTTGTTTCTCGCATAAGGAATTGATGTTCAAGAGTCTGGAAGTCAATAGGAATTTAAAAGGAGTTTTTCCATGCTCCCCTAAAGTAGAAAAAAGTCTCAGATCCATAATGTACTTAAGTAGGTGAGTGCATTATGCTTTTGAGAGAGCAATGAGAAATGGCCAAAAGGACTTGAATTCCAGTATGAACGGTGTGGTCCGTGGTCTTGGAACTGCTCAATCTACTCTCACTCTCTACAATCACCAAAGAAAATAGTTTCTTTGGTATTATGTCTACAATTTTCAAATTGTTTGGGGAGCAGCTAGAAAAGTAGCACGTTGATGAAAAATCTGAAAGTGAATGAATATGGAAATTCAACCACTATAGCTCTCAGGAATTATGTGGTTGGAGATCATATTTTTGAGGAAGGGTAAAAAACAGAACACTGTAGTGGCTCATTAGGAAGGCTTTGAGCATAAAGAGGAGAAGGATAAATAAATTTGAAGGCTGAGTTCTCTTCACAGATCAGGAATGTTTCTTGTTGCTACTCAGCTGACAGAATTCCTGCAAATGTGCATTCGCTTCATTCTTTGCTTGTATTGCAAGTTCACACAACAAGAAGACATGAATTTTGTCCTACAATAAATGCTTGGTAGAAGTTCTTTCTGAATGCCACTCCAACACAAATATAAAAGAAGTTTCCTCATTCAGTTTTACTTCTCTTTATGTGAAATGAAAACAAGCAGCTCTACAGTAAGCAGAAGACTATGATCTGAATTAGGATCGAGCCTGCAGGCAAAGGACAGTATGAACATGAAAGAGATTTTCATCCTGCTGCTGAACCTGTATTTGGTCTTCAGTGTTCAAGCCATTCGAGGTGAGATTCAAATTTATATTCTCTTTTATCTTTCCTTCCTTCATTGCCTTTCTTTTTGTATCTGTTTGTGTCTTTCAACTAATGATCTTCCTCATTTTTTGCTTGCTTTTCTGCTTCCTTCTATACCGTCTTCTCTACTATAGGAGAACAGACATCGTGATTAAAACCAGTGTGTAGCAGGTGCATGTGCAGACAAATCAGTTGTATGTTGGTGGTAAGGACAGGCGAAATACTGGATAAATGGATGAGATAAATAAGCTGACTGGATAATGAGTGAATGGAAAGGAGGAGTAGACCCTGATAATTAGTGAAAACAGGAAAATGAAGGGCTGCATAATTCCAATGGAACTGTACAGGAGTGTAGTCATGTGGACAGACACAAGACAGGGTGGTGGGGGCTACCAAGAGCAACATCCAGATGACCTGATTTTCTTCCTGTGGAATTGCTGACAGATAAAGAGACCATCTGCCATATCCATTGCTTGTGTTTCTGAGTTTAATATCTTTCCTTTCTCATGCAATGAGAGCTACTCTTTACCCCTAAAAAGCCCCTTAAATAAGCTGATAGTAGCTCTCATCATGAAAAACTACTGGAGGGAGCACACCCATGTATGCACACTGATATCTTTGTCATCTGAAGCTGCAATATCCCAATAGCACAGCACAGATATTACCTTCAGAGAAAATAAAGCAGGATAAGAAAGCAACTTGCCTCCTAGTGCATGTGCTAGAGGCAAGTCTGTATTTTCCAACTTAACAATTGTGAACTTAAAAAAAAAATTTATCTCTCACGAGAGGTCTGGCTGTTTCTGGATCATGAATCTAGTTCCAATAAATTAGTTTGGGCATTATTCTGAGTCATAGCAAGACTATTCTCAGAGCATCTCACTTTTAAATATACCTTTCTAACATCATAATGTTTACTAGGAAGTTAGTGGCAAAGAAGTCTATACACCAACACAACAAAGATGAAATGATTGCTATGTGCCTGCTGTCCATGGTGTCTACTAATCCTTGGAAATAATCAGTGTTGGAAAAGTGATACCTTGGCTGGAATTATATTCCTTGCAGGCACAAAGATCTCAACTGTGGGTAGTTATAGCTTGGTTTGGACACTTGTGTATTGTAGAGATGTGCAGAATGGCCACAACTCTGTACATATTTTCACCGAGTTGTGCCCAATCCCTGGAGGTGTTCGGGGCCAAGTTCAGGGCTCTGAGCAACCTGGCCTAGTGGAAGGTGTCCCTGTCCACGGCAGGGAGGTTGGAACTTGATGATCTTTAATGTCCCTTCCAACCCAAACCATCCTACAATTCTATAATTTTCTGGTGGCAAGAGGAGAGTACTGTTATCAGTGCCTTACCTGTTTTGTACTCCTACTATCTCTCACTATTTACGTTTGTAGTCACTGCATCCTTTTTTTTTTTTTTGCCTGAATTCCTTTCTCAGAGAGCATCCCTATGAAAAGCTTGAGCTGCTTGAATGACTACAACTCACAGGTCACCTGCACATGGATGGAGCATTCAGATGCTCATGACCTTGTTGGTATGATTCTTTACCACAGGGATGATGTTATAATGTAAGTACCTATAATGTGCTGAGCTGGATAAAAGACCAAAGGGAAACTGGTCATAACTTGGAATCCTAGAGACCAGCAGGCAGATTTTAAGAAAACATGCCCACCTCTTTCTGTCATCGGGTTAAAACAAAAGTTGTACCTGCTTCTGAGGCCTCATTTAGGAAGGGAATAATGAACAGGCCATGCTAGTGGAGTTATTTTTTTCACCTTTACAATTATTTTCCATGATTTTGTTGTGAGATAATAGATTAGAAATAAGATGGGGCATATAGGATGCTAATAATGGAGGGTAGAAGATGGTGTCAGAAAAATGTGAGCATAAAGGACAGTTTTTATAAACCCAAAAGGAAGAAGGCATTCCCCGTGTCATTTTGTCAATTTAGAAGCATCACTGAGAGTGTGATTTTGATCACTTCTGAGCAACATGTATAGACTCTGTGTTTGTGAGATAGAGAAGACTGGTTAGTTCATCTGTGCTATCAGTTTTCCTCCCAGAGATACTGGTGTGTTTATGACAGTATCTCTCTGTTACATCTGTTTCCTTTTGAAAATGGAACTGAATCATCAGACTGGATCGATTGTGAGGGTAAGAAAGGACAGAAGGGAGGAATAGTTAGGGGAGAGAGGAAGGCAAAGATGGATGGCTGAGAAGAAAATGATTTAGAGTATGGGGATACAGGAAGGAAAGTAAAGAGAAAGAACTCTTAATTTTATTGCAAACAAGAGAGAATTAATAGATCTAAAAGCAACTGAAATCAGTGGAAGAACTTTGGAACAGGACCTTGAAGTTAAGGCTTCTGGGAAAAGATGATATAAAGTTACTTGGACTTTTGGAGGATTCTCTGCAACATTGTTACTTGATGGAGTGTGTGGATCATGAAACATGACTGAACTCATCAGATGAGTGAGTATTAAACATGGACAATCACACAGCTGAAATCAAAACAGCCAGCAATTAAACACCATCGGCTCATAGATGAAGAATAGTTGATTAAATCCCAAACTATAGGGTAATGGTGAGTAGACAGAAATATCTTTAGGACTTCACAACCCTTGGGCTGACTCTTTTGTTTAAGGTTATGCACATGTATGGTCAGTCCCACCCATATTTCAGCAATTTCCCTGGTTTCCTTGCTAATACTCAACTTTTAAAACTAGCAATAGTGCTGAATAATGCTTGCTGACATATAGTTGGCTAGAAGACTCCATCTTATCCTGGAAGACAGCATTTGGCCTTAAATATTTGCAAGTTAATATTTCTCATCTGAACTGGAACAATATAATATACTGGGCATGAAGCCACAAGCACAAAAAAAATTCCAGAGAGTACAAAAAAAAGCAACACTTCTCTCCAGCAGCTAAGGCTACTGCAAACACACAAATATTTCCCTCTCCTGCCTAGTTTAAAATACTGTTTCTAATTTTCATGATGTTCCTTGGCCTGGAGAAAGGCTATCTGAAAGAATGATTAACATTTTGGATGAACTCTTTAATGAATGTTTGAGGTCCCTTGTCAGAACAGAACTACAAAGGATACAGAAGTACATTTTGGTTGGACAATCTTTTTTTAAGTGTCTTTTTGGGACTGCAAAATGAATGTCTTCAATAAGCTAAGGATCATCAGAACTTTACTGACTTTCACTTTGAGTAAAAGGTGCATTTACATGACATTTATTTTCATCATACTATTTCTCACCTAAAATATGAGATTACATAGAGCTAGGCTAAAAAGTAACAATAACAGACTGGTACTAAAATGTAGCATTCTGCTGTACAACTTCGAAATGGGGAGGCATTTGACAAAAATCATGGTGTTAAAAATATTTGTCGTATCAACTGATGCAAAACAGGACTAATAGATACGGTGAGAAGAGGATATAAGTGCCCTAGTAAATTATAACAACAGAATGGGATGAAATTGGTTTCAGGTGTTTAATTTTGTGTTAACTGTAGGTCTCCAGATCAGATCTTTATAGATGACTTTATACACAGGGAGAACAAGGAGATGTATTGCAAACGCCAGACAGAAAATGACTTACATGAGACTCCTGATGTGTATGTGCGCTGGGTTTGTCGCAACTCTACAGACTATTTTGGAATGGGGGTAGAAGATATTTATGGCTTCAAACCTAAGAAGATGCTTCAAGCAGAACTAAATGTTGATCTTTTCCAAAATGGTAAGACTTAAATACCAAATTCTCATTTTCCAATGAATTTTAAGGATCTTTGGGACTGTATTTGCTGTTCAGCCAAGAACTGAATTCCACTTCCATCGTGAAAACTGCCAAAAAATTCCACATTGAAAGGGCGGGTCAGGGAGAGGAAAAGGCAAGTTTCTGGGAGCAGCTGGACCTGGTGTCATCTCAGGAGCTAGTCAAGCAGAAGATACTTAGTGTGGCAGGGATAACATACTCTGGAAATGGGGAAGCTTACCTAGATGTTCTCTTCCCCTCTTTGTGTCCTTCCCTCATTGTCTCTACTCATGTGTTGTACCATCACCTTCCAGTTCAGCCCCTTCCACCTCAGAACCTCTCAGTCAGCTTGATGACATCAGGAGACTTCTTGCTGACCTGGAAAACAGATGATGAAAGCCAAATGCTGGGCAATGCACTGGAGTATGAAGTCACTTACAAGCGGGAATGGGAGTCCTGGGAGGTAAGAGTGGAGGAGCTGAGCTGTCCTGGGTTGGGCTGCACCATTTTGGGCAATTGAAAGTCTGTGGTAAAAGTTGTGTGAATTAATGGCCTTTCCATTCTCAGGTACTAAGAAGATGCAACAAGTGTTTTTTGGGTCAGGCAGAAGGGGCTCTCTTTCTATTTGCAAGTGACTTGCCCAGTGAAATACCATTTGTCCTGAACTGAAAGCAAAGCTCTCTTCTCCACTGAAAAAAACCAAAAAGGGATGCTGTGCTTGGGTTTTGAGTTGGAATTGATTTTGCCCTGAATCCCTCCCAAATTGAATTAAATCATGTTCCAACAGGAGACTGTGGGTTCATGAGGGGAAAATGGCAAAATACATTTGAAGTTGCTCCCCCATGGAGAAAGATATGTTTTGGAGTTTTTTGGTGGAGTTTTTTGTTGTTTTGTTTAGTTTTGTTTTGTTTTGGTTGGTTGGTTGGTTGTGTTGTTGGGGATTTTTTTTTTTAGGATTTTTTTGTTTTTATTTTTTTTTGTTTTGTTTTGTTGGGGTTTTTTTTGTTGCCTGTTTGTTTTTTAATTTTTAGTTTTTAGGAGTCCATATCCTTTGCTCTATTGTTTCCCTGGATCTTCATATGTTTCTCTTCTGCATCTGTCAGCTTAATCTTTAGTTTTTAAGGGAAGTATCCTGTCCAGATTCCCACATAATTCTGCACTGAGAGCTATGAACATGTGTAGCTGGAGGTGAACACAGTCAGGACTCTGCAAGCTGCAGGAGTTGGCCTACTTGTTGGGAGACACTGTGCATGAGAGTGCCTGTGCCTCAGCCTTCCTGTGCCATGCTGGCAGCATGCATGCTGAAGCCCCTCTAGTATGGGAGTAAGGACCACTGCATGGCAGCATGGACATGGACCACTGCATGTGTGGGACTGTTGAGAGACGCCAGCTGGCAGTCATCTCCTCTCACTCTTTCCCCCCTCCACCCCTCTTCTCCATTCCCCAACTCCCCAATTTCCTCCCTCCCTTCCATTCCCTTTTATCCCCCGACAACAGGGAGCTGCCTCACTCTTGCTCTCCAACACCACTCACTGCAATCTCAGCCGTGAGGACCTTGTCCCAGGGAGCAGCTACATTGCCCGTGTGCGAGCCAGACCGGGGCAGGCCAGTGGCTTCTCTGGGCAGTACAGTGAGTGGAGCATGGAGGCGTCATGGAAGACCCCTGAAGGTAGTATGGGATGGAGAGGGGCTGTGCAGGGTGGGTAGCTCTGGCTGAGAAGCCAGACCTTTCCTGTCACTTGTTTCTCTGAAGGTGGCCTTCAGCCCAGGAACCTTCGCTGCCTCTTCAATGGTGGAGATCGTCTGACCTGCAGCTGGGAAGTGAAGAAAGCGATCACCACCTCTGTCCTCTTTGGCTTGTTCTTCAGGGCCACTCCATCATCAGAGTACGTGCTCTGCCCATGGCAGCATGTCTGTGCCTCTCCCATGGGGTTTCTGCTCTGCCCCATTCCCCTGATCTCAGTTCAGCCTCTTTTTTTCCCCTCAGAGAAGAGGAATGCTCTCCTGTGCATGAGAAGACTTTGCCCCACGTCCCGTATGTGGTGCAGAGCTGTGAGATCCTTGTTAGCAATTCCAGCAGCCAGAGCCAGTACAATGTGTCTGTCCGAGCCAAGACGGAGGAGAAACTGATTGAAAGCTACAAGAACAGTTAGTTACTGTGTTGTTTCTTCCTTCTTCTCTTTTTTTCTTTCTTGGAGAGATGCCTGTCTGAGCAAGTGGGGCTGAAGACAGTGGCAAGGAAGAAAAGGGAGTAGGGAGAAGAACCAATTACTGACAAAGAAAGGAACTGTGTCTGGTCAGAGCTCTGGGATGTAAGTGTGGAGTTCCTCAGTGGCACTCTGAGGAAGGTGATGGTGACAGAAACTGCTGTGCAGAAATTCAGGTTGTAACCCAGAGCTTATCAATGAGTAATTTTCACCCTGCTGACTTCTCTGCGATTGACCTTCAAGAGTGTCCCAGGTGACAGGGAGCTGTGGTGAGAGGTGTTTGCGGGGAGCGTGTCACTATGTGATTTCTCAAGAAGCCAGTGGAGCTCTTGTGGGTTTGTGCCTTGGCCCCTGGAATACTCTATGAGGTAGGAATCCTCTGCCCAGTGAGGTGCACCAGATGGATCATTTCTGCCTACATGTATCTGGAGGTATTTGAGCTATTTTTTGCAGACTAAAGATGGGAGAGCTCCTTGCAGAGGGTGAAAATATCAGGAGGTAGCTCCAAGAGAGATGAAAATCTCTGGAAATGTGGTGGACCAGTAATGATGTTTTACCTATTGCTTCACTACCTCCCTGTACCCAGGGAGTGCTGTCAACATTCATGGGTATGGATTTTCTGTTATTTAGTGGTCTACTGGTTTATTCTATTTGAGTAGAAAATGAAGATGTAGAGAATTAAGAAATGTTAAAAAGCTGAGACTTCTTACATTGCACAAAACAACCATGTTTTCAGTCTCTGGAAGTGATTTGCAGTGGGGAAAAAGTGAATCACTTTTTCCCAGTAGGTTGCCCTGAGACATTCCATGTGTTCCAGTTCAGGTGCTGCCGCCTGCAAACGTGTCAGTAAAAGCAACAGAGAACCAAGAGTATGAACTGAGATGGGTAAAACACACTCTGGGATACAACTTCATAACACAGAGATATCAAGTTGAATACTGGGAAAACAACCGATATGAAAAGGTAACTTTCACAAAGTGCAGGAGTCCTGGATATTTCTTTGCTGGACAAATGGAAAGAAACTTCTTCTTACCTTGTCATTTGTGCTTATTTCCTCTTTCCAGACTCTCCAGAAGTTAAGTATCAGCAATGACGAACCTCCTTTCATCTTCACTCTGCAGATGCTGGCAGCATCTACAGAATATAGGGGGAAAATGCGCGCAAGGGTGAATACGCCCCTGGATTATGAGGGGCCTTGGAGTGAATGGAGCGAGGAGTTCACCTGGAAGACTGAGAACGGTACTTTTCATGCAGGCTGCTTTTGTAAGGTTTGCATGGACTGTTAATGGCTGAAAATGCCTCTTGAGAAAAAGATATACTCTCAGCTGAGGTTGGAGTGAGGTGCAGCCATGAGTTATCTGGAGTCACTTAAGGCAGCTTCTCTGCCTGCATCCTTGCAGTACATCAATGCCAGTGAATAAGGTGAATGACCTTTTAAGCTTCTTTCATACTTGCCTTCATAAGGTGAGTACAACTAACCATAAAGTTTTCAACATGGAAAATGAAACAGAGATCCTGCCCAAAAGATCTTGTTTCCTGGTTCCGGTAGTCCATTCTGCTGTCAGTGACTGAAGAGCCTGAGACTGAAAGAAGACAGAATATAAGCCATCAGTTTTTTATATTTGCACAGTGACTATAGGGTTGTGTAAAACACACCGTAGGGTATGCTGGAGATAAAACCTTTACATGTTTTTGCTGTTTGTTGACTGAGAGGCAGAATATCTGCCCTCATACAGTCTTGTGCCCAAAGTAATATGATCTGACATGATTTGTTCTGAGGAAACTTGTAGCAGTGATACTGTCAGGTAAATTTTGATGAGTATACTCAGGAAGAAATTGGTGTGCTGTTGTTGCTGATAGCAGAGAAAGCTCTTAGAAAATCTCTGAGACCCCATTTCTTCAGAAGTGTAGAGTCAGGCAGACCTAAGATGCCTGGAGGCATGCCTGTTTTTCAGGATGGACTGAGGTTTCTAACCATCTTCTTAATAGCATGAATTGTTTACTCTGACGTCAGTAAGAACTAAAAAATGTATCAGTAAAGGTAACAATGAACTCCTTTGGTCAGTAAGCTGTACAGGCCATGTTTGATCTGTCCTGCTTTGGAGGGTATTCCAACGGTTTGAAAGCCTTTTGATCCCGTCTCTTGATATAACCCCTGCGTTTTCCTGATCTTCCTGTGTGAAGAGTGACCAGAGTGAAAAACCTGTTATGGGAAATGGCCACTCAACAGGTGGATACCTATTTCTCTTTTCTCTGTTTCAGTTCTGCCACCAGTGGTTCTCCCAGTGATGCTCCCAGCTCTCATCATCACTTTGCTAATAGTTGCTTGTTGCAGCTATAAATATTTCCTCAGGTAGGCCTTCGTTGCAACTAGGACATTCAGCAGCCTGTTGGCCATGTGGGTGGCATAAAGGCTAAGGCACTTCTTGTCCCCCATGAGATAGAGGTCTATGTGGAGATGAACCTTGGTGGGCAGCCTTGTCTGTGTCTGTGCAAGGGTGAGAGTTGAGTTGGTGCTGTGCCATCGCCTTGGTGGTGCCTCGCTGTGCAGAGCAGCACAGTGTATGGGGTGCAGTCTTTTCTGGTTGCAGTCACATTGAGAAGCAAATCTTGAAAACTCTGTGTTGTTGCTGCAGGAAGAAGAAAATGTGGGAGGAAAATATTCCAAACCCCAGAAAGAGTCTCCTGATCCAGAGCTACGTGGGGGTAAGAGGGAACTGTACCTTGAAGGGTTCGTTATTTCTCTCTCTTTTTCAGGACTTCCAGAAATCCTAAGAGCCTTTCTTGTTTCCTAGTCCACAATGAATAGTTATCTTCATTAGCTGATTAATTATTTTTAGGAGAAGTGCTGGTCCTACTCAACGTAATAGTGTTCTTATATTTATACCAGCAGACTTCTTTGTGCTGCACTTGTCAGCACCACTGTGATGTAAAATCAAGCTAGAAAATTTTCAGTACTTTAAAATTTTAACTGACTGAAATAATTCAATGTCATTAGCAAACTTAATTAGCTAATGCTGATCACTGAATATCCAGAAGAAGAGATCAGCACCTCCCTCTTGACTTTCCCTCCTCATAAAGCTACAGAGAGAGGTGAGGTTGCCTGACATGCTCCTTTTCTTCAAAATAGCCTTTTTACCAGCTTTGTTGTCCTCTTCTGGATGCATTTGAGTACCTTAAAATCCTTCTTAAATTGTGGGACCCAGAACTTCACACAGTACTCAAGGTGAGGCCACACTATTGCTAAATACAGCAGGATAATTGCCTCTTTGACTGGCTGATGATGCCAACTTTGAAGACCCCCAGGACAGAGTTTTCTCTCCTGGCTGTCAGGGTGCACACTGATTTGAGCCAGCACCCCCAGCCCTTTCTGCAGGGCTGCTCTCCAGCTACTCCTTTCCTAATTTGTACTTGTACCCAGCATTATGCTGTTCCAGGTGGAGAATCTGGCATTTGGACTTGTTAAATTTCATTCCATTGATGATTGTCCAATGCTCCAATCTATCTAGATACCTCTGCAAGGCCTCTTGTCCCTTGAGAGAGTCAACAGCATCTCCCAGTTTGGGATTGTCAGCAGATTTGCTAATAGTGCCTTCAAATCCTGCATCCAGATCGTTGATAAATATATTGAACTGGCCCTAGAACTGCATTCTGAGGTACACTGCTGGTGACTGATCACCAGCCACATGTAGCCCCATTCACTAAAACCTTTGAGGCCCTGCCCTTCAGCCGGTTTTTCACACAGCACACTGTACCTTTGTCCATGAGGAACGTACAGTTCCTGTTTCTGATTCTATGGCCAGTGAGACACTGCTTTTTGGTCATGTCTGCTTTTTCATTTTCAGAAAGCACAGTTGGGAAACTGGCCAACAAACAACCAGCTGGACTTCAACAAATACAGCCTTTCAGAGAAGACGGAGCAGGCTAGTTTCCTTCAAGTTCTGGACAGGTGAGTGAACAGCACAGTGACACTGTGGATGATAGCCTCTAAGAATTCCCTGCATCATGGCAGGATACAATCAAATGCTCTGTCACTAAAAAGCCTGTACAGGTTGCTTTTGAGAAGGGGATACGATTGTTTATTACCTGGGTTAGACTGCATCTCCAAGAAAACTGTTTTCTAAGCCTGTGTTTAGCTATGTGTGTTTTCAAATAAGCTTGTTTTATGTTTAATGTTTACCACAATAATCTCTCTCATGAGCAACTTTTAACTTTCCCCCTTTCAGGCAGGTGAAGACTTTGGCAGAGTGCCCTGAAGGGCAGACTGAAAAGACAGATGTTTCCCTTGTTGCACCAGACCTACAGAACTCATACCATGCTTTAAATGAGGCAGAGCATGCCCCAGTTTTCTGTTCTAGTCAGATTTCTGGTCATTCCTTTCCTGTTTCAAGGAAAAACAGTGCAGATGCAAGTATTGCTTCCCACACAGCAATCCCTTGCTTTGCTTTCAATGGTCCATACTTGTACAATCCAGTGATGTCCTCCCACCCTGATATACATCAGTCCTTGGAACTGGACCAGGTGGGACTCTGTAAGAAATCAGTTTCCCTTCAGTATGTGACTCTCCCAAGGGAAGACTGTCCTCAGGCTCCACAGAGGCAAGAAGAGCCAGGAGCAGGTCCTCCAAAGCCCTACCTACTTACAGATCAGAAGGAAATGATGCAGCACCTCAGTGATAAGGAAGAAGTCTCACCGGCCCCACCAGCCTGTGGGAAAGGCACCAAGATGGAAACAGAAGAAGACAGCTCTCCAAAAGCTCTCAGCTGTACCACATCTCCTCAGCAGTGTCCCTTGGAGTACATCACCACAGAGAGCCTGTTACTGCCATCAGCCAGTGCCTCCACCCATCCTCCACTTGTCACTGCTGGGGAATCACCTGGTGGCTCACAGGAGCCCCAGCCCCCCAGTGACCACTCTTGCCATGAGTTTTCTCCTGGGAAAACTGGTGTCATGGTCCAAGTTTCAGGTCAGGCACCAACCTCTTCTCCTCAATTGCACCTGGAGAGGTTTGGAGACTATCTTACTGTGCCTTTAGGCCTCAATGGACATTCAGAAGCCACAAAGATTCCTTTGCCTGTCTTGCAGAAGGAAAATGGTCTTCCTAGAAAGCAGCCTTTGTCAGAGGGTAACTTAGTGGTGTTGAACCCTGACAGCACTGAGCCAGTTTTCCTTTGCCAGGTCGGTGACTATTGCTTCCACAGCCTAAAACCCAGTGTGAAGATGGATAATGGTCAGGAAGACCACCAAGTCAAGAAACTTTCTGAGGGCAAGACAACACTTGGGAAACCTGTATCTGATGAGGACTCCATCACTGGCAAGGAAAAGGATGTATCAAAAATGCAGGCTATTCAGCTTTTCAAAATCCTGAAATCAGATGACTACTTTTCCTGGCAGCAATCTTTGAGGATTAAAGAAATCTGTTAAATGGGCAAATACTAATCAATACTGAAGAGACTGATAACTGAAAGAGGCTGCAACTGTCTGATGAAAATGAACCTTCAAACCAAGGAACAAATAAATACCGGTTTCATTTTCAAGCTTCCAGTCCAACATGTGGAAAAACCTGAAGTAGCTCAGTATCATTCTCAGTGCTCTTCACACATTCGGCATGAAATACATGTATTTGCCTTTGGTGTTTTTTAAACTTTTTGACTTATCCACAATGAGCAGTTTATCCTCCTTGTGATCCTGTGACAGATCACAATCATCTTGCAATTATACCGAATTGCCTGGCAAAACCGATGGCAGGAAATGCAGACTTAACAGAAGAAGACGAGCTTGGACACCTTGGAAAGAAAACTTAAATTCTTAAGAGCAATTTTGTTGAACTTCTGTGTGTTTATAAAGTAGATCTAAAAGTCACCAAGGAACTTTCATATCTCTGCCTTTCCACTATGGCATGAAATAGGTATTGTCTAAGGCAAAAAACTCCCCAAAACCAAAAAACAGGATAGTAAAGAAGGGTAACTATAAAATGTGAAAAAAAAATGTTGAAGTCCAGGAGAGCTTTCTTAATGTTAATGTGCAGTGCATCACAGCAAATGCTAAGGGTAAGAAGGTAGCGCTAGTGGGATACATAAAGTAGGCTGTAGAGAACCATTTGGAAGAAGAAACATGGCTGAAAGAAAACCCAAGGACTCTTAAGGTTCAGTGAGAGAGAGGGAGTGGGGCAGGTAACAGAAAATGGCACGCAAGAAATGTTGGGAAGCTGCACAAGTTTAAATCTGCTGCAGCTTTTCTGTTTATAAGTGTTAAAATACCATATTATTTTAAGTTCATTGACTGTTTATACATAATATTCTTAATCTTAACTGTGTAATCGATTCTTTGGTTTTTTTTTCCTGAGTAATAAGATGTGTTGAGAAAGACAAGACATTTTTTCCCAGTTTTACTGTAAAGAAAGTGATGTAAGGAAAGAGCCTTTGTTCAGAGCTGTGACTTTGTGACCAGCTAGATGGCTTTGATTTCAGACCTGAAGGTGGACTTGCATTTAAAAAAAAAATTTATTTTTTTCAAATATAAAATCTGTACTAATAAAAATATTATTTCTTCATATAAATATTTCCTTTCATATGTTAAAATATTGTGGTTACAATAAAATTACTATTAGCTTGTTTGATCAGGCCTCAAAAAATTCTGTATGTTAGCTATGCCACCTGTGAGGCAGGACACTTTCTCCTGACTTTGGTATATTATTTGACAGGGATAATGAGTTCTGTGTTTCTGCCAGCTGATTCCTCCTGCTGAGTTAATGGGACAGCGCTGATTCAGAAATTGCAGTGAAATGAATTGTTTTTTGAGGATTTTATTCTCAGAAATACGATTTTAAATCTGAAAGGTGTGCAAATTGAGTTTGGTGTTCTTGACAGCAAAAGATACGCAGTTATAGCCTCTGATAGAGAATATTGATGACCACTTCGAGAGATTTTCAATGTAGACCTTTTGTAATCAATGTATTTTTTTGGCCTTTCTAAAGTGGCACAATTAATTTCTTCCAGGCTGTATGATTGTGCTCTAATCGTGTCCTAAAAGGAGATGTTTAAATTCATATGCAAATTTTGTATCTGGATTCACATCTTAGATATGCATCACTTTCCTGGGCCTTGAATTGCTGGGGTTTGATAATCAAGAAGATTAGTGAGTGGGAGAACTTTTATTCAACTCAGTGGCTTTTGAATGGAGCCCATTTGCATTGTCATCAGCACTCTAAGAGCTCTCTGTTCCTTTTGTCTCTCTGCACTTCACTGGGCATTTGCAGAGGCTGATTTTGGAGACCGGATTTACAGACACAAGCACATAATATCCACAGAGCAGATATTATCATCTGAAGATCACTTCAGGAGCCTGGAACTTGCAGAGTAACATGCCATTGTCAAACTAGGGGAACTGAGCAGTGGTTTTCTTTGCAACTATAACAATCGGTTTAGGGCAGAATGAATTTCTGCTCTAGGGACTCCTTGTTCAATATCCATTTAAGTATTATTAAATAAAATCTGTAATGAATGCTGGAAGCAGAGCTCATAATCTACAGCTCTGCTGTGCCAGAGGAATACACTTTTTACTGGGTTACTGAATCAAAACTTCCATAAACTTCTTCTGGTGCTGATCCTATGAATCTTCCATGCTCTTCTGCATGAGATCCAGGTGCAGTGCTGGTGGTAAAAAGCATTTTACAATACTGTAACCTGGTGTGGTGATTCAAGACTTAGAAGCTGTCATGAGTCCCAGGTCTTCAACTTCCTGATCATTAGCTTAAGCCCCAAAGTTACTGTGCAAAAGCAGGTTGCTGCTACCTTTCCCAGTGCTAGGCACTGAAATGCAGGAGAGGAATCATCATTGTGATGATTCAGGAGCCAATTATGACATGCCCCTCTCTGTACAGCTTCTCACTAAGTAGTTCCAGCCCCACAGCCTGTATATCTGTGTGATGAGCCACTGATGTTTCTGATATAGTCAAAAAAAGAGAGGTAAGCATCTCAATACTGTAAATCACATTTTACAGCTCCCTATTTACACTGCAGTGTATATACAGTTATGAGATTATTGCAACCCTTTCCTCACTGCCCACTCAAGCATAAAAGATTCTACCCGTGTTTCAACAGTAGACATTTTTCTTTTCATTGCTCTGAAGTAATCACTTTATTATTCCGTATCATAATCTTAATCAACCAGAAACATATTACCTGAATTTGCATGAGATTAGGGGAGGAAGTATATTGTGTTCTCAGTGGTTCTAAATAAGGTCAATGCTGAACTGCTCTGTTGTTTTGTTTCTGCTATCTCAGGGTTTGTCTTTTATGTAAGGAAGGAAAATGGAGCTGAATGGTTTGCTAGAAAAAGAAACCTGCAGTGGAAAGCCCTCCAAGACCTCAGGGAATGACAGCTGGAGAATTTCTGAGAATCATAAAATCATAGAATCCTGTACCTCTACAGGGTAATGGAAAACAAACCTAATTGATCCTGCAGTCCTTTTGGTTTCTTGTTCACAAGCACGTTGTACACACAACCTTACTCCCGTAGAACTCCACTGAATGATCTCTGCCTCTTCTCCTCACTCTCTGCTTGCTCCCTTCTGCTCTCACTCTGGAGATGAAATTTCCATGAAAAGAAACACAAGGTGTCACATTCTCTACATGGGGAATAAGTAGCACTTGTGCCTCTTTTGGCCCTTTATACAAGCCTTTTCAAGGCCTACCAGGATTCCATATGCTACAATCTGGATCCTAACAACTCCTCATATTACACAATAGATGTTTCACCATGATGTTCAGTGGGTGAGCCCAAACTCCTCTGCAAACTCACTCAATATGAGCCAGCTTTAATTCAAAACCTCTGCAGATTTGTTTTGTACTTTCCAGCTCTTTGATAGAGAAGCATATGGTCCTCCTTCTTGAAGGATAATTTGTTTGTCTAGAGAAGGAGTTCTAAAGCTATCTGAAACAACTGGGTAGGTTTTCCTATTCTCCTTTTCAAAATTTTCCAGCTCCTGGTTCACAGCATGCACATACACTGCAAAGTTTTGAGATGAGTACTTTTTCATCTTCTAAGCTGCTTGTCCTGCAGCATTCAGACGTATATAAGATGTTGACACACATTTTCAAGTTTATTTCATTCACTGCAGGTTCATGAGAGATTCATGGTGTTGTTTCAGCATCTAAAGACACCCTTTTTCTCTCTTCTACTTGCAGCAGAGACTGTAGTATAGGAAGATAAGACTAACACATTAGATCTAAACAATCATTCCATCTAGCCCAGTATTCTGTCTCTGCCAATATTTGCAGTGGATGCTTAAAGCCTGGGTGTAGTAAACATGAAACAGTATCCAGCAAATAATTAAATCCTCAACTGATATATTTACCTGGTATCTGGCCCAGAGCATTCCAGAATTGGAGGTTACATCTAAGGTGTTGTAGACAATATGTGCTTCATGTCTCTTGCCTTTAGAGGTTCAACTAACTCCTTTCTATAACCACTTAATTGTTGGCTTCATAATGTCTAATTGGAAAGTATTACTATATTTGTTTATAAATAAAACCATACAAACAAAAAAATAATGGCCACATTTTCCTGAACTCATTTTGTGCCAATTGCATGGTAAGTCGCTCCTTAGCTTTTGTTCTAGAAGAATTTATAAACCATCATTCCTTATTCACCATCTCGTTTGAGATGCTACAAACTTCTGTCAAATAATTTCTCAGTTGTTTTTTTTCAAGCTGAAGAATTCCACAGTAATTAGTCTCTCTTCCTATAGATCATGTAACTCTTCTAACAACTTTGTACTTTTTCTGTTTCTGCACAGTATTCTACAGTATTCATTCAGATATGAGATAACCAGAACTGAATTCAAGAAAACATGTTATTTAGACAGCCTATGATAACTGGACTCTCCCATTATTATTTGTCTGCTCTAACGGGTTCTTAGGTCTTGTTGTATAGTTAGAATTATTTTTTTTCAGTCACGTGAATGTCTGTGTTTCTATATTTCAGTGTGCACTTGCAGGCCAGAAAACAAAGAGCATCCCGGGCTGCATCAAAAGCAGTGTGGCCAGAAGGTTGAGGGAGATGATTCTGCACCTCTGCTCTGCTCTCATAAGACCCCACCTGGAGTACTGCATCCAGCTGTGGGGTCTCCAGTGCGAGGAAGATGTGGACCTGTTAGAGTGGGACCAGAGGAGGCCATGAAGATGATTGGAGGGCTGTAGAACCTCTCTTCTGATGACAGGCTGAGAGAGTTGGGGTTATTCAGCCTGGAGAAGGCTGCAGGGTCACGTTATTGTGGTCTTTCAATATATAAAGGCAGTTTATAAGAAAGACAGAGAGAGACATTTTACCAAGGTCTGTAGTGACAGAAAAATGGGCATCAGTTTTAAACTGAAAGAGGATAGATTTAGAAGAAGAAATTTTTTTAAATGATGCTGGCAAGACACAGAAACTGGTAGCCCAAATAAGTTGTGGATGGCTCTTCATTAGAAGCTTCAAGGCCAAGTTGGATGGGGCTCTGAGATACCTGGTCTAATGGAAGATGTCCCTGCCCATGGCAGATAGTTTGGATCCTTCCAACCCAAAGCATTCTATGAACCTCTGGTTCTATGATTCTAATGTCAAATCCCATTTATATCTAATAACTTAGTGTTTTTCCCCCTCATCATTAGAGCTGGAGTAACCCAGATAAAATTTTGCCTTTTCAGTCACTCAGATCTCTCAGGTAAGAGATTTCTTATCACTCAGTCTTAGAGATAATTTATAATTATATTGAAGATCACAATTTTCCTGGGAGAAGTCACTTAAATCTTTTCTGCAATATGAAAACTAACCATTAATTTTTCCCACTTGTTTTCTCTCTTTAGATGACTTTAATTTCCATGATAACCTTCCTTTTATCTCTTTGTTTCTTAGAAATGCATTTTTCAGAGACTTCAAGCTTTTTAGACATCTAGGTATGATGCACTAATTGGATAACCCTGTACCCATTTGCTTCTGGAGTTCTTCCAAGAACTCTACCAGCTTTATAAGCACGACTATTCTCTTTTATAGGGAGATGTTAATTCTTCCTCGGAAGATTTTTCTCTACTATTTTTATTTTTCATTATAGTTTATATCACCTATCCTGTACAAAAGTCAGCCTGATTGGTCAGCAGTTGCATGGATTCTTTTCTGAGTACTCCTCCAAAGCTTTCATTTGGTATTTCTTTTTCTCTGATGTTGAGGTCTGTTAAAGCCTTTGATTATTTATCTCAATTATTTGTTTGGCAATTAACTGTTCAATTTCCTTTATAGATTCATATGATAAAAAAGTAATTGAGTAAGAATATAGGTTATGCAAGGCTTGTAAAGAAAGTAATTATGTTTTATTGCACAGAAGGATGTAGTTGGAAAAGATCATTATAAGTTATCCTTTTTCTCTATGTGTCTTGCCTCATTTACTTTTTCAGAACATTAAGGACATGATAACCATAATTTCATAGCATGGTAGGCTTATGAAAGGCCTAAGTGCACTTCTAAATTTTTGTATGATTCTTTAAACAGCTTCTTTGTCACTGAAAACATTTGATTTTTTAACAGTTTCTTGGGCTTATTTTATTTTTGCCAGTCTTTTCCTAAAAATATTATTGTAGAAAACTCGTGGCTTGCGCTGTTTCAACTTGTACTAGGTCTTGTATATTATTCAGGACTTAATCAGTTTCTTTGTGTTCTCATGTGTGCTTTCACAAATAACTGCAAGAAGCAATCATTCACAGTGGCTAAAAAGGTAGACTCTGTGACTAGATCCGTACTAGCAAATAAAGTAGATCAAGGTTCCTTTCTGGCTGTAAGAGCAGCCATGGAAGATTTGTGTATCCAGTCTCTTTCCCCAACAGTAGAAGGCCTTTTCCACACTGCATATTGGAAACTATACCTTGCTTGCTCTTTGGTGTAGACAAAAGTCGTGTCAAAGTGTTCGCTAGCAGTTGAGTGGAGTCTGTGGTCCCATTCCAGAGCTCTAACCTTTGCCTTGTCCTGGAAAATCTGTGCATTAGTGTTCTACTGAATCTACTCTTTTCATCAACATTCCTTAATGCCTATTAATTTTTTCTAAGACATTTGCCAATGATTCTGCCATTTAAAAGGTATTTTAAAAAGCAAATATTTGTATAGACATATTTGGGCATTTGTCTTGATTTGGTTGTATAGTTTTATATGCTCTGCTTACCCAGGTTGTTTTTGGTTTTGTTTCTGTTTTTCTCACCTTCTGTTCTATCCCTTTTTCTGAGTCATAGGCTTTCTGTGGTTTCAGAACACACAAATAGATCAATCTGAACAATTTACTTTCCACATCTGGCATAATTTCCTTGGTTTTCATTTTAGAATTGCCTCATAGCGCCTTTAATCTTAAATTCAGCAGCGCTGATTCTGTTTTGATTGGGTGGAACTCATCTTGTATGTACTTAAGCTACTTCGAAATTTTACCAGATATGAATAATATAATCCCTCTTTCCCTACATGGTTTAATCAATCATGCACTGAGACTCTGTTATCTGACAGAGTGTATAAAAGCAGGACCATTGAAGAATGCTACTATGTAGGACTGCCTTTTCAACCTCTCAGTTTAAACTTTGCTTTTGGGACCTCTCGCCTGCTGTTTCTTTGTTGGTAGTGTGGGTATGAGCCACCACCACTGGGTCTTTCTTGGCACTTACTGAGGGAATGCCTAGATTCCTTGTGCTATATCGTCTTTTCAACTGCATGTGTCTTTTCAAGCAAAATGTTTGTCCATGTTTGTATTGGTCATGAGAAATGAAGGAGATATTTTCCATTTTTCTGCTCCTGGAGGGAACCCGTCCTACCAAAGACACCTATCAGCCCTTGCTGCACATGCTACTTGTTGAGTAACTCATCGTGCAGTGTTGGTAGTGTTCATGTAACTCAGGATCTCCTTTTGGGAGGTGACCTGCTCCTGGGGGTGAAGGCTAGATCCAGCAGATGATGCCTGGCTACTGTGATATCAATCCATGACATCACATGCCTGACAAAACTTCCACTGAGTGCAAGAGAGGCTATGGATGGCCTATATGGATATGTCAAGACCCACACAGTGTCTAAAGGATGATTTGTCTTCATCTTCATGTCCTGTCTTGGAGCTGAAAGGCTTGACTTGTCCATCTATTCAGTCCAGTTAAGTGTCTCTTTGGGATAAAAGTTTTTGACAGATTTACAAATGGCCTTTTTGTGTGTCTTGTCAATTCACAATTCTGTGTTTTCTGAAAGGATTAATCAAAGTGTTTCTGGTCAGAGCCCATCCCAGTAGCCCTGCTTTTTATATATTCCCATGAAAGTTGCTTTCACTATGCATCAGCAAACAGAGCAGGAGAAGCCAGGGATTTAGACTGATCCCTCCTACTTGGTCATTGTATCAGAAGAGTTTTCTTGAACCTCTGCCCTAAGGTGCTGCTAAAGGTTCTTACTTGATAC